GTGTAAAAGACGACCCCGGAAGAGGAAGATCCAAAACAGCAACAAATGATGAAATGACTCAAAAGAAGAAGCCATGGTTCTCGAAGGTGGTCATCTGAAGGTTTTTACCATTAGTATGGCATTGAATATATCGAAACCCAGCGTAATTACCATCTTGCATGACAATTTAGACATGAGTAAGGTGTCAGCCAGGTGGGTTGCATGACCGTTGACACCTGAACAAAAATTGCTCAGGTTGAATATTTCAGAAAGTCACTTGAACCATTGACCAGTGGTTCCGACCTTTTAGCACAAATTGTGACAGGCGACGAAACTTGGATGCATCCATGAGATCCTGAGTCAAGAACAAAATACAAGCGTTGGTTCGTGAATGGTCTCGATCCTCTAGAAAGGCACAGACGCAAGCCCTCTGCTGGAAAATTGATGAGAACAGTTTTTTGAGACATTAGGGTCATCTTTCTCATTGAATATATGCTAAAAGAAATTACCTAAAGCAATCAACTAAGAAATACCCGATTTTTTTCAATCGACAAGCATTTCTGGTGCATGGACTGCATAAAGCCACCATAATTAGCCCAGCTGTGCAGGAACGTAGCTTCCTTAGATCGGATTTGGCTCTGGCTCTGGCTGACTGCTGTCTCACTATATTACTAAAGAAAAATCTTCGAGCGCTCCGTTTTGACGCAGATTATGGTATAAAGACAGTCATCGATGACCTTTTTGAGAGTCAAATGAAAGTACAGGTTCACTGGTGAAGAAATGGCGCAAGTGCATAGATGTAGGGGGGATTATATTGAAAACTGAGACCATAAAAGAAACGTACGTCTTTTTCCCATGGTGCCTAGCCATTTATTCTCTAGTATCCCTCGCATGCTCACGGCAATAATTAGAGATCCACCTCCACAATTCTAGTGTATCATAGATTACTCTGTAGTGCACCTATACATGCTCATATTGTTGATCTATGGGACACAAACATTTTCAAAGTAGATTTCTAACTATTGCGGAGAGGAGAAATATAGCTACGACAAATTCTCAAAGATGCCTTGATACCTCATTCCATCTCAAATGATTTCTTGGACTCCGAAGTACAGTATCAGGTTGACTATCTTCAAGTACGGTACATTAAACATTGATTCCACATATTCTAACTGCGATCATAACGTATGTTTGAAAAAATCTCAACTACACAACCTCCTAGGTTCAGATGGACCAAACATACTAGTTCAAAACGCTACGATCTACACTAAAGTATTGTTTATTTGCCAATTTTAGTTTGTGAGACAATACTTCACTTTTTTATTCATTTTACACACATCATTTTCGATACAAATTGCCGACCGTAAAGACAGAGCTAGCAACATAAAGTGCATACTCCCACACATAAGGACTTCAGGATGGTCAGGAGTTGCCGTAAAGCTCAGGTAATGAACCGAATAACGGTAAATATGATGAAAATGCGAATTGCAAGATAGTAGTGAGTTTGTCATAATCCTTGGGCTTTCCCTTGAACTTCATTTGAAAGTCAGGATACATTTTTGCACATAAAAATGATGTTTTTGTTCTTGAGCTGAACTTTCCATGATTCTGAGAAGACTCAAGGAGGATCGGCACGGGTACTATGTTAAGTTTTTGCTACAAGATGTTAACTTAGCACTAGCTGATGGACACGTTGTGAACTCGTTTTGTAGTTGTACGTGCTGCCTAAACGTCATGCGGCTTCAGTTATCAATTTTTGGCTATCATGTGATGAAAAATCTGCATCAGAGATGGCATCACTGGAGTTTACGGTATAGTGAGGTTTTATGTGCAACTAATATGTGTCGATGAACATTTCATTGGATTCTTGTCTCAAATACGCTTACTTGAGGTTAAAAGCTGGAAATTAGTTGAGCATCCACTTTTTCTTACCCATTCTGGAAGTATCATATACTAATTTGCTGGATTTCAAAAATGAGATTAACAAGAAAACTGTCGAATTACAAGTCATAAACGTGCTAACAGTAATTACACAAAACGCGGGCGCGGTGGTGATTTCTCGTAATTTCCTCAAAGTTTTTGAAAATACAAAAACACGTGAAAAATCGTAATTGATAACTTTGAACATAACCTGTCTTCCGAAAGGACTACACATTCAGACCAATACATACAATCATCAAGATGCGATCTTGCTATTCAATTAAATAACCAACTTTCACAAAACATATGCAGCCAACAATGCGTGTACGCATAGTTGAGACATTCCTCCATTGACGCTCATAACGATCCTAGTGATCAAATGTTTGGACCCTATAGATTTTTTTTGACGTTTTGTAGGTTCTTTTAGGTTCTTTACATAATACCGTGCAGATGTAATCCAAGTACATCCAAGACATGCTATTTATTTATAACTCGCACACATGGTTGCTAATTCTACCCATTCCATATCTTCTGATTCTATCAAGTAGAGATACAGAGATATCCTAAAATATAACAGGAATATCCAATGCGATATTTAAAAAAACATGTACGGGCGAGATCTTTTGTTGCAGAGAACTAACAGTGGTTAGCTCCTTCGGTATTGCAGATCTCAGCATCTGGTGTACCTAGCGTATGAACACATACAGGCATAAGAACATTTTAATTGACAGTCGTTAACACGAAATATACTTTACACCATGAACGACCCACCAACTAGCTTACACTGAACGCGCGAGTATTATTCCCATATCCATCTGCAGTGTATCGGATTTATCTGAATCGGCAGTGTCTATAAATTTGTACGAATTAACTGTCGAACAAAACCCACATGATGCATTCAACAAGCTTTCAGTGAACTCCACAATTATCCGAGTATATTTGTCAACTTCCGTAGCTTCCTCATAATGATGGAATATCATACACACAATACAAACATATACATATAGGTGTATGTGCGTTTGACGGGTATACGCAGAAAGCTTGAATAAAATACGCTTTTAATGTAACCGAGCGGTAATCAGTGTCAAATAGAATTGACTGTAACGCTATAAATGCAGGGCGAAATGGAAAATTTAAACAATCAGTAGCAGACTTGCACGTTTCGTTGGTTATGAATGTACAAAGTGATCTTTTCGATTACAAACGCCTACAGTAGCAACGAAATGCATAACCATAATAAAATGAAATGCTGATGTGATGTCGTCAACGAAAATAACAGCTTTTACATGTCAGTTAACGTTCAATAAAATCATTTCATTGGAAATGTGTAGGATTTTGCACTGAACACATATTGAGTGATAGTAGAAGCTGATCTACACAATGGATTAGCTAGACATTGCTAAACATCAACAAATACGAGCTGTGGTAGATAATATGAACCACAAATGTAGAGCACCAAATTGACAGAACATGGTACTATGGATCGTAGAATTACCACGCCTACACAAGATAACGGCCTTGTTCAAAAAGAGTTCTATCCAGAACTTCGCGAAAAGTAAAAACGGTAGAAGGAGCAGATACGTGCAAAAGGATAAAAAATAAAAACAGGAGTTGTGATATAAAAATTTCAAGGTTTAATATTTATTTATTGAGATCCGCCGTTTTGTTTTTATAAAATTTTGATCAATTTCACCGTCGATATACATTGGATGCTGGAGACGGACATAAACCACCTTTTGCTGCAAAAATAAAACTTCAAGGGGTGGAGATAGAGGTAAAGTTACTATGGGGGAAAATATTGTCCTTCAATTTGGAGATATCCGCATGTAAATGTGTTCTATAAGAGGAATTTTGAAAATTCCACTCTTAAGGTGTAAAGTGGGAGTTAACACACTTGAGCTGATGAACCTACAATATTTCAGATTAGACCAGCCTTGATGTAGGACGATGTTTTGTCGATAATTTTAGCTTTGAAACAAAAAAATAATGAAGAAATCCAGGAATTATATCCTCAAGATGGGGTAAATGGGGAATTAATGTTTATATTTGGAACGTCATCACTTTTCACTTATAGAAATAACGTTTTCATATCAACCATATTGTTATAGTCAGGCAGAAAAACTGTTAAAGGCCGTGCATTGGATTACAAGTATCATGGGATAAATTGGCTTAGAAATGTTAAGTATGTTAAGATCTTAAGAATATTTTTTGTTTTAAGAGAAATCAGTGGTAGGATCATCAATGTTTGTAAAAATTTGCAGGTGAAATAGGTATACACCAAATTTTATTAAAATATCTGCGGTGGTATTACAGATATCAAACAGATATCAACAACAAATGATTCACTCTTGAAAATTTTTCCACCCAGTAAGTCGAAAGTTGAGATGCTTAGGACACATCTCGGGACAGGGATTCATATAAAAAGTCGTTTGCTTAAAATGGACCCAAAAATTGCCGCCTTAAATATTGACATTCAATTAACAAATACCCCGTAAAATACTGCTTATAAACAGGACATGTGGGGTAAGAATAGATTTTGATTCCAAGTTTTCACCAAAGTCGTTTGCCTTTTTAATAAAAAGGATTTGGCACAGAGGTAGTAATCGCAAGTTCGTTTAAAATACAAAATGAAGCTTTCTGGTACCTATAAAATTGGGAATAATAAGGTTCTTCAGAATGGAGTTAAAACAGGAAGCGTGTTCGTGACTTGGGCAAAAATAGATTTAAGGGCTGTCACAATTTTATAAACCTCTTCAGAGTAGAATTAAACTAAGAAAGGAGATCTCAGGGCTGTTACAATTTTATACATATTTCTCTTTTTTTACAGCTTTACATATTTACCCTTTCTATCATATCTGAAGATTAGGCAGGTATTTTTCGTAATGTAAAATAAGGGTTTCACCTAATATGTTAATTTTGAAATTTGGGAATTTTGTTACAAGTTCAAAATTTATTACCTCTAATACAGCCAGAAATTGTACTTATTTTGTACAAGTCGTATTTATTATTTTTCTTTGTAAAGAGAAACTTCCCAGAAAAGAAAGGCTTGTACTGTTACCTGTGTCTGTTATCTCAAGCCAAAACAGAGACAACTTATGTCTAACAGATCTGCTGATATAGATGAACTCCTTTAGAAAACCACTAATTTGAGAATGTCTTATGTACAGGTACCTGCAACTCTGTTTTTATGATTTCCATCTAGGTTTAAGAAATTGTAGCTAGAAATAGTATGCTGTATATACTTTCCAGTGGTTTTATTGATTTAGTTATTGACATTGTATGGTGCATTCTGTATTTTGCATTCAGTGTAAACGGTATTTTATGGATTCCAGCTGGTGAACCTGCCCTAGTGAACCTGAAACAAAACTAAATAAGTATCAGATACTTAACTCACTATTGTAATCAGATTACTTGTTTCCTTTGATAAATCAGTGCTCCTAAAGCAAAACCTGTAATTGTTTATAATTTTATAACCTATATAGCAATGAATTTTGTAGACAGGTGTCAAGTCGGCTGTCACTGTCAAAGGTGAACATCATATCATGCCAACTGGCGTGGAAATGTCAGGCGCGAGACGCGCGCAACAGGTAAGGAAAAAAAAGATCGCCATTGCAATTTTCCGGTATCGAACGGAGCGGCTGTTACGCAAGGGCGGATATGGTACCGGAAAATAGCTGAAGAAGAGAAATCTTCACAATTCCAATTGCTACAGGCGCACCACTAGTATTGCGGGATTGTTAAGATTGGGAGATTTCCCTCTACATTAAAGGTCACCCTACACCCTAGGTAGGTAGCTTACCTTTTTTTTGGTGCCTTTAGCTGATGCTTGAAGCACTCATGTAGTGCCTGATTAATTGCTTTGAAGTGCATGTAGCTTATGCTTGTCGTTCGTCCACAGTCCTTTTCTTTTTCGTTTTCCTTGTTCTCTGTTTCTTCTTCACTTCAACGTCTTTTGCTTCCTGCTGCATGCCTACATTTTACCATCTGAGGGCTGGTTGACACCACCAGATGACCTACAACAGGTGATTCCAGAGATTGCAGGTCAGATTAGGCTGTAAGGTTTATGTAAGACTTCAGGTCTCTGGGACAGCTGAAATATAGAGTACCCGATTTGTTGCTGTAACGTTATCCATTAGGTTAGGATCACTTGTATATGTTTCACCTTTCCGTGCGCATACTTACCATAGACATATCTACCCCCCTTCTTTCGTAACACATCACCTTGCCCAGCAAATTGTGTAAAATGAGACATAGCATATATGAATGCAAGTGTTACGTCTTCGCGTAGTCCTAGGAAGTAACACATAAGGTAGCCGACCTCTCTTTTCGTGAGATCCTTGTACATAGCATACGGCTTTGTCTTTTCAGGCAATGTATAACGTTTCAATCTGAACTTGGTAATTTCTTTCATTGTTTACAATTTCGACAGACAATTCGACAGGTTGACAATTTGACACTGTGGAACCACGGAACCCCATTATAGAACTGGACTCCGTGACGTCAGTACCTGGGAGTGGTCACGGCGATTGTAGAGTAGTAATACTCACTTACAGTACAGATATAGATAATCGTAAATCCTAAACTAGGGTGACCGCTGATGACCGTCGATCGTCGTCGTCCCCCGACCACCCATAACAATTTTTAACAATTCAGAGTGGTCGCAGTTGCAGGTACCAGCTAGTTTCCAGTAACTTAAATTATTCACGTATTTTCGCGGTCTGTAACAAACACGAACTTTTCTGGCAAAGAAAACTATTACGTAATTCCCAAAACCAATCTGTAACTTCTAACAGTCGAAAGTCACAAATGTACCAATATCGCTGGTCAGAAGACTGTGTACTGCCAAAGTGCGTCAAAAAGGTGCAATTTGGCAAAATACGTAATCTAAATAGTAACTTCAAGACTGTATGCAGCACTAGCAAATCGATCTTTGTATAGCAGTGACCTCATTATACACTATTAATAAAGTTGGCTGGACGAGATACCGCTGAGTAGTAGAAATTGATGGTTTCCTAATAATAACAATAATTGGGATGGTCAGGCCATCAATAGGCAGACCGCTTGGCGACAGTGACGTACACGCTTTGCAGGAAGATGTTGCCATATTTCCACTTTGCAAATATGATATTTCACGATAAAATAGCAGCTCTCACATATCAGCGCACCATATTTTAATACATTTGACTTATATCTACTAATGCACAAAATCCATTGCCTTGTTTGTAGGATTCCAAGAATTTTGGATCTTATATCATGTCTTGACGTAGCAAAGCCACTACATCCTGACTGGCAGTGGTAGTAGAATGAGTATCAGGTGATTCATTAATATGTTATATATGTGTTTCTTTATTACTGGATTTTCAGGAATTTAGTGGCTCCAAGGACAATACAACATTTCGACATAAAGAGTAGATATTCAAAATATCCAAGCACCGCAAATAATCTCCAAATACTGTGACTGAAAGAACTTCCATACAAGCACAGCTTAGTATCATTCCCTGGCTAACCGATGGTGACCATGAATATGACCTTGACCTTGGTCGTCCAGGTCATTTGAATTGTTTAATATTTTTGAATGAGATTCAACAGTTTTCACACTGAAAATGGATATAGAGGCAAAATTCTTTGTACAGATGAGTCCTAGTCCTTCGAAGTTCGTGGCCTTGGTCCATTATCTAAGCGATAAAATAGCATCAAAAGCCAATGATTCAAAAGGAATAATCTCTCTTTAAAGACAGGAATTGATACTGAAGATCAAGGTCATTACATTTAGTCGCCAGTCAAACTCCTGAAAGTTAGCTTCTCAATTAAAACTCAACAGACTTGGTACAATAGGGACACCGCAAAGGCCCACATTGGCCTTCCCCAGTGTTTCTACTCAATTGAATCTTACATTAGTCTGATACTACTTATTCTGTGATTTGTCCAATCTACATGTTTGTCTGCCCAGTAATTAAACTAAGATGTTGTTACTTAAAATTCATCGAATGAAGCTCATTTGAAAATGTCCGTATATCCAGTCGATTTTACATCGGTTCCAGCGACCATTGCATGACGTCGCTTTTCTGGAACATGCACAGGTGAAATGTTGATGTCTTCTTAAAGTTTCTGCAAAGTGAAATGGAATATATCTTATATTTTCTCCCCTATTTTTTTATTGAACGTTAGAAGTGTTATGTATGATTTCCATGCTCGCCTCTGGAAAACGCATAAACCTCCTGACTCTATGCTATGTTCTTTATCTTATTATCTTTTCTGGAACATGCACAGGTGAAATGTTGATGTCTTCTTAAAGTTTCTGCAAAGTGAAATGGAATATATCTTATATTTTCTCCCCTATTTTTTTATTGAACGTTAGAAGTGTTATGTATGATTTCCATGCTCGCCTCTGGAAAACGCATAAACCTCCTGACTCTATGCTATGTTCTTTATCACTTCTTCGCAAAACATTCGTCTTGTCTTTAGCTATAAGACATGTGGCTCCGTCTTGCTGAAGACATTTCTTGCAAGTTGAGTTGTCAAATTTTACCTGGAGCATCTTTAGTGGCTTTTAAAATTTGACATTTTTACTGAAAGAGATGAGGTTGCAACATGATGTAGTGAATTTTATATGGCTCGAGAAATGATGAATGTTATCTATTACCAGAAATGGTCGCTGCGAGGTCAACAGCAACTTTAAATGTATTTCGTTTCACCTTAATGGCCGAGTCATCACCATATCCTCTAGATGCTGCCAACAAATATTAAATAGCTGTACAAGGTTTGTCAAACGAATCAGTCGGCAATGCAGTATTTTATTAGGATATAACGCAATGAAGAGTGCCTTCAATAAGTTTGATCTCAATATTACGCTACTCCATCTTGCCACTAGGATGGTCAGATTTAACAACTTTAGACGCAACATGTGCATTTAAAAACGCAGTGTCTGTGTCGACAAACGAAGCTTTTTGAGCAGCTAAAGAACAAACCTGTATAGGTTTGTGAGACTTTCAAAGAATTAGGTAAGGTACCAAGACCTGCCTGCCTACCGATAAAAGGTGCAATGAGGTGCGCTCCAATTGCAACACTTGAGACCCACCGATGCAATTTGTAATTAAGGGCTGGAGAATTGCTCTTATGTCGTAGAAACCGTACATGCCTTCTAACAGGACATTTTATCCCTGAAAAAATAGCTAAGCAAGATAGGGTAGTATGATGGAGACCTCAACTAATGATAAGGCCTGAAAGGAAAATAATCATCCTCACATGTCTCATGTGAGTGCGAGGCGCTGGATCACAAGCGTCAGCAAACTATAACCGAGCGAGCTTAGTCCAGCACCGTCATGGAAACTTTACCATCTGGTACAGAACACTATACTGCTAGATTGGAGGTGCTGAAAAGGAGCAAGGTACAGAGGCTGCAGTGACATCGGGAACCTTTGTCGGACAGCTCCCGGGATGGATAAAAAAAGGCTGGCCTTTGCGTGATGTCATTGTTATTTTTTATTACATAACTCCAGTCAATACAATACAAAGATATTTCATTATATTTTGGAGCTAGTGGGAAAAAAATCAGTCAGTTATATTTTTGCTACGAAATTTGTATATTTAAAGAAACGTAAATGGGAAGCATGTCTGACTATAAAGTAATTTGGAAGGTTCGTAGTAGGTAATATGGCAATTGAAGTAAAGAATATGCTATAAAGATATGTATTATCAGAGAAATAAAATGAAATTATCTCCGTAATGTAATGATCTGGCAACATTGCTGAGCTTCGTGGAACTGGTTGGAGGGCGAGCTTATCTACAACATAAAATATGTACGAACGAACGTATTACTGCTGATAGGAGCTTAGTTACATACATGGAACAGCTGTTAACAGTACTATTTAATTGTATGACTATGCGAACCACCATATGATTTCAGAGATGGCATTCTTTATATTTCCGCAAGCCGAATGTAAATTATTCTATGAATGTATTATCTGATAACTTCAGTTTAACCAGAATCTTAGTGATTCTTGGTAACGAGGGTATCATCAGCCAGAAATGTACCGCCAAGGTTGAAACAGCTAGGTCAGATTGTATCTCTGGGTTATTATAATTGCAACAAGTTATTTATAATTGTTAGCTTTGAATCATGAGAATTCAAGTATGGACATGGAATGACTATATTTTGTGAGAGATGTATTTGATAACCTCATATGCTTCTGAAAAAAAAGTAGCAGCTAGACAGCAGCAGTAGAACGCCTAGTAAAGCAAGGTTTTAGGCAAGCATTGCGATCAGTGATGATTTTATTTAATATCTATTCTGCACGAGCATGTGCTTTTGATAGGGAAGATAATGTTCTCGTTTAAGTAAAACGTTAAAGGGCAGTGTTTTTTTTCAAATCAATGAATGGTCCCCCCCTCTACTGATATACCAACGGATGTTAACCCTTGAACTCACGTCCAAGACCTCACGTTCAAGACCTGCGAGTCATACCCGCCAGGCTCCTGCTTCTCGTTTTGAATCGGGTTAAATCTATCTGGCAGATATGACCGCTCCTTAGTCCTCAAGTACGATCATATTCCAAAAATGATTATATTCAGCTGCATGTTGCAAACTAAATCCATCTTGTTGAAACCATTTCCTTGTCAAACTATCTCAGGACCGCAGCACCTTCCTGCAATGAACGTTGTGAGAGCAACATATTATGTGCCCTCTCAAATTATATGTAAGATATGCGAACATCATTAGCCTCGCCACATGGAAATGTAAGTGATGCGTCTATTTTTTTGCTTCATTAACTTTTCCCTATGTGGTCGCGCTGGTAAATACCTTTGACTGGCGACCGCGTGAAACCCAGGCAGTGCTTTATTTCTAACACACTTTACATCCAACCGTTTCCTCTTCCCTTTACTAAAATATGCCTACGATGAGAACATTTCCCATTGCGGGTTAGATACACTGGAAGAATGGTATATAAATTTAGTACGGAGAATCATTGGCCTCGAATTAGAACCTATTTAAATGAAACTTTGATACGAGGTTACGGCTAGAAGAGGGAAAAAACCTGCAGTTTTTGAAAATGCATCCAATGACAGCAAAGATTTCGGGCAATATAGGAAAAAAATGGTGTCAAGTAGATTGACTCGGTACTTCGCACGCCTTCGAAGCAACTGCTAGTGGTTCCATGTAGTAAAATGGCATCAAAATAGGGTAGAGGTAGGTTTTGTCAGAACTATTTGCGTACTTGGGCTATCAATGAAAAAAAATCAGATTGTAGTCATGAGCATGTCCGTACACGGTAGCCTCACTTCTTTGGAGCTCTGATGTGAAACCGTCAACAATATTTGATAACTAACTTTAACAGCTGTTGCTACGTACTTATATACTGTATAGAGTGTTTATATGAAAACTTCTCACAATGAATTTATCGAAAACCACTGATTAAAAGAAAAAGCG